CTTCCACCCAAAATAGAAATTTATTTTCCTTCCAGGAAGGAAAAATAAATTTCTATTTTTCCTTCTGTTTGTAGAGAGCGCGCGCCGTCAAAGCGCGCACACCCACATAATCGATTTTTCTCGGAAACGGCTGGATTTGGGTTGTCTAGACCGCGATTCTGGAGACTGGAAGACGGGTGACTTTTAATTGACTGCCTCGATTAAGCCCAATCTTCTCGCTTCCGGCTAGGTGAAATCCTCTTTTTCCATCCGTTTCTCTGTGTTTATCCCGGCAATAAGCGTTGGGTTGCGTTCGGATCCTGGAGTTGTGGCATTATCCTGCTCGGTTAGGACTCACAGGATGATAACCGAGCATTCCCTTGCCAGTCTTGTTAACGCTCTCTCCTCGCATGGGACGCAAATCAACGAGTGGGTTCTGTCCGTGGCCGTATGTAACCAAGACTCCAGAGGCCTATCACTGTGATATCGGCGGACTACCGTGCTATTTCAAACACAAGCAAGACAACTCCACGCGATTCGAACGACACATGAAGGACTTCCACGAGGACTTATATTTCGGACGTATAAAATGGAGGAGGCCTCGCGATAAAGCGATGAGGAAGCAGAAAAACGGTAATACAATACTACTAGTATTGTGTTGGAGAGGAATCTCCATTTCCAACACGATATCACCGTTTTCTGCTCAGGTATTCGCCTCGTCGAATCCGTAACAGAGCTTTACAACTATGAGGCTTTACCAAATCTGCATGTGGACGAGGGAGAAGATGAAGTGCAAGGTAGTTCTAGCGTAAATTGCACCGAATTTTGGAGTCCGAAACAAGTCATCTGGCTCAGGCTGCTCCGCGAGTTCTTCGGATCGTCGTAGCCATGCAGAAGGAGAAGCCGCAATCAACATCAACAATAAGACCGCTGACGTCGACTCTCCGCCAGAGATGGTTCTGCTAGATGACTCTTCTCCTCAGAAATGCGTCTCGAAACGGCGCAGGTTAGGAAGTCCCTCCTCATTAGCGCGCCCTGAAGTCAAGGTTGCTCCGGCAGGGAGAGTGAACGCGACTCTTCAACGGAGCCCTTTCGTACCTATGGCAACTGCCGCTACCACAAACTACTTCCTGATGCGGTTCGCCGAGTTCTCCATGGCTCAGCATTGGAATACCACTGCTATTCTAAGCAATCCAGACTTCCACGATACCATATCATGCATACGCCCTGGTGTCGGAAGACCTTGTACCTCTAAGTCAAAGGCCATTGTATCCCAGCAAGAAGAGAAGATAGAGTCTCAGGTCCAAGCTCGGCTCGAATCTTGTGAGAAGGTGACCTTCCTCATGCAGTGGTGGTCGGCAGAGAATCAGGAAAAGAGGCTCCTCATCATCACAGTCCGTGACGTGATTACTGGGGATACATTCCCTTGGAGAGGACGAGTGCTTCGTGACTGCTCCGAATCGTCGGCCGCGGAATTCTTCGAGGAGGTGTGTGTGGATTGCGCCTCAAAATGTAACATGTTTTTCGTTGCTTCATGCGCGAATGCCAATTTGTACAGGTCCATACAAGCTAACTAGCATCGTTACCGACGGTCGAGCTACTTCAGTCGATATCCGCAAGGTTGTCAATAGCTCCCTGGCAACTCCCTGGCAACTCCCGACTCCCTGGCTATTTTTCCTTCCGCCAGCCACCCTGAGATCGCAACAATCAGGAGCTTTATTGCAGTATTCATGCACATGTGGTCCCTGATATCACTCACGGTATGTGGAAAAATTGTATGCAACCGCCCCAATTCTTGCCACCCTCATTTTAGGAAGCGGAGGAGTTGTATGCAATAGGGGGTTGTATACAAGTTGAGTAGGAAGTTGACTGTTGAGCAATGCTCAATAGGCGTTGAGTCGGGAGATTTAGCATTGTTGGACTCATCCGCAGCATGATCGATCAGTTTCTCCGAGAGCCTTCTCAACACGCCGTTGACAACACCGAAGGTTATTGAGTCACTCAAGTTGAGTGGGGGGTTTTTACTTGACATGCAATGACCCGGGAAGCGGGACACATCAAAACGGTCTAGCACCATCACTGTCAGTGATTCACTGATGGTCGATCGCTCTAATCG